TGATAGTTATGGTTGCTGCTGTCGGTCCTGGGAATGCGGTTCTTGCTAGAGAATGACGTGGTTGGCGATGGTTGATTTGTTTGGGCTGGCTACAGTAATAATTGCTGTAATAAGAAGTTGGAGAATGGGTAATTAAGGCCAATTTTGATTCCAGTCAAGAGTTTGTATCCAATTTTTTGGCTTGATTTACTGTATACTGTGTAGAAAAGATGAAGCTTGAGTGAGTGGGGTCAATTTGCGAGTGGACTGGTGGAGGTTTTGCGATGGGGATAGGGTGGTCGTGATTGAAATTGGACAATGGTTGTGGCGTGTTGTTGATGATAGTGGTCAAAGTTGCAGTTGTGTAATGAATCATCTCCCAAGTTTAGCTCAGATATCAAATTTGATGCAGCATGTATTAAGAAAACTAAGAACAGGGGAGAAAAAGCAAAATTGCAGGGTAGATTGAGAATTTTAGAACTTATAACATTAGAAGATAAGGAGAAGGGAAGATGAGTAAAAGAAACAGACGGCAGCAAGAAGGGAGAACACAGGAAGAAGGGGAAGAAGACCTTGATAGCAAGCCAAACATTTCATTCAATTTCTCAATTCATCGTCTACCCCTTTCAAATTTCATTACATACCTTTTAAATAAGCAAAGCAAACCTAAAAGCTTAAAGGGCTTGTGCCAGCCCATTAATACAAGCATACTAAAGAAAACATAAATAAAAATTCATAATATAAAAGGTTGATGTCCGCATTACTCTATTCCATTGAAATCTTTGTTTAGTAGATGCTATTTCAAATATATTCAACTTCGAGTTATTTTGACCAGGGGTCAGAATTTCTTCGAATATGTTCTTAAATTCATTCAAGATGCAAGTAAAACTCAAATTAGAGAAGAATATGGTGCTTAGGTTCCTTTTATTGGAACCATGTTTCTATTTATTTTTGTTTCTAATTAGTTATGAGTTCTTTTGCTCTGGAAATTCATAAAATTACTCATGCAGAGTTAGCACACCCACGAATGATATAAATACTACAGTTGCTTTGGCTTTACTCACATTAGTAGCGTATTTCTATGTAGGTCTTACCTAAAAAGGATTGAGTTACTTTGGGAAATATATTCAACCAACTCCAATCCTTTTACCCATTAACATCTTAGAAGATTTCACAGAGTCCTTATAACTTAGTTTCAATTTTTTGGGAATATCTTCGTGGATGGATTAGTAGTTGTTCTTATTTCTTTAATACTTTTAGTGGTTTCTATCCCTGTCATGTTCCTTGGATTATTTACAAGTGGTATTTAAGCTATTATCGAGTTAACCATAATTGAGTAATCTGAGCCCGTGTATGACTGCTGCTTATAAATTATTTTTCATTTATATATTTTATGGGATTTACAACTTCTATTTATTTATCCATCATTTGTTTCTATTTATTTTTAATTTACACATTCATAAATGAGATAATAACCAAAGTGGTTACTAAACTTTACAAAAGGTTTTCACATGGTCACTGGACTTTAAAAATCATCCAAATCATCACTAAACTTCGCAAAAGATTTTTACGGGGTCACTGATCATTAAAAAATACCTCATTCATCACTAAATTTTTTAAAAGGTTTCCCAGGGATAACTGAATCAGTGATTTCCTAAGAAACTTTTTACAAAATTTAGTGATTTGCGGAAACTTTTTACAAAATTTAGTAATAAATAGGGTGATTTTTAAAGTTCAGTGATCTTATAGAAACTTTTTATAAAGTTCAGTGATAACTTGGGTGATTTTAAAGTTCAGTGAGCCTTCAAAATTTTTTTGCAAAATTCAACGACCATTTGAGTTATTATCTCTTCATAAAGTACTCCAAATATGCTTTAAAATATAATTGGCTTGCCATTACCCGCCAAAATCCAATAATTTGAAATAAGGAGATGCGAAAATCCAAAACATGAAACTTTGAGGATTAATTGCAGCAAGTAGACATAAAAATCTGGATCTTATCCTCTGCCACGAAACATACAAATTTTGTATTTAAGACAAAAACTAAACATTGTCAGTTTGTCATCATCATTCCCCCACCCTACCCCAATCCCACCCCACACCCACCGCAACTCTACCCCAACACTTGACATGCACATGCATACTAAAACATTCTCATCCAGCAAATTTATGTCCCACAATTTTCTCCATCTCATCAGATATCTTTCCAACCCATTTTGAAAATAACCTAACATTGACTTGTACTTTTTATCAACTACCCATGCCTTTGTTTATCTGTTATGTACTAAAAGATTTTTCAAAAAGATATGTTATTCTACTAATAATTTGAATTTTCTAGGGTATTCTAGTTTTACCATTTAAAGGATTTTTCTCCTTTTTTGGCAATTCAAGGTATCAATTCTATTACAATTTTTTTGCTTTTTTTTTTTTTTTTTTTTTACTTCGTGCAAGCATTTGATGATGATAATGCACTCAATCTATTATAATTTTTGGGTGTTTCCAAATTATTTTGAAGCTAACTTCGAGGACAATGTGCCCTTCGTTCACCTTGTGCTTTTGATAGTCGAGTTGTCGAACGAAATCTTTTGGAATGAAAAACAAAATGAGACTGAAGATGAAGTTTATGATATATATGCGAATATAATTAACTATAATTTGAATAATTGTTATATATTTTCTAAAGGGTGAAGAAAGGGTAATTATCATCATAGTATTTTTGTTTTGTCCCACATTTTAATTGACGGTCCTAAACTTTTATTCATTGTCATACTTGCGTGTTCTCTCACCTTTTTGTTTGTTGCATTCTTATTCATCAACTTTCTATTAATTAGAAAATTTTGTTTTTGATGAAGGTTTTTGTCACAAAGCGTGAAGCTCCGCTACGAAGGTATAAAAAGATTATTTTTTTTTAAATAAGCAAAAACAGGGGGGAAAAAGGAAGAAAAAGAGAAACTAATACAAAAATTCGACAAAAGCATTTGCTCTTCATTTCAAAGTTTTCCAAAAAAAAAAATTTGGCTAAAAAATTGGTATCAGTGACAAAATATTCTAATCAATTGAAGATTAATGATAAGAAGTGAAGGAAAAAGTTGAGAATATACGTGAAAAAGTTGAGAATATACGTGTAAAAATAAGTAAAATTTGTACCAATTATTGTAATTAAAATATGGTGTAATAAGCAAAAGTTGTTGTGTAAATATAATTACTCTTACATTAACTCTACTCAGGGTTATCACACTTATAGAGGCATTCCCTTTAGTTTTAAAATTTAAAAAGAACCAAGTTTATCGGTATAAGTTTTCATTCTACCTTCCTCTTATGATAAATAATATAAAAATAATTTTGTTTTCTTGATTTCCTTTTTTTTAACTATAATTTTAGCCTTTTTTTTTTAATTTAAAGTTAGTACTTTTAGATTTCATCTTAATGACATTTTTTCGTGAAAACTGAAAACTGATTTCTCATTAGAAAAAATAAACAAAAATCATCCAAAATATTTAGCTTAGGATCTAAAAAGAAATCTATAAGTTTGAATATTCAATGCCAAATCTATTGCATGTTTAGTATTAACATAATGTTACTTCAATTTTATGAACTTAGTATAGATAAATGTGGAAGTCTAAGAAAATTAGAAATTTGAGAAAATGCTACTGAATCAAGCAGTGTAGAATATTGATGGACTTATAATTAGCTTTATTAAATTATTTTAAAGGTATTTATCTTAAAAAATAAGAAGAAAGAAAAGTGTATTTTATGATATAATAACAATTTCAAAATATTATAAAGTTGAAAGGTAAACGAACAATATATATATATATTTATTTATTTATTTATTTATTTATTATTATTATTATTATTATTTTTTAAATGATAGAGATGATTCTGTTCGAAAAATAAACCTTAAGAAAGTTTCTGTATTTTTATTTTTTTATTATTATTATTTTAAAGCAAGGGTGTTACTATAACATGTAGTATCCTCAATTTTAAATTTTTATTTTTATTTTTATTTTTTTGCTAATTTGTGATCTGAAATCGAGACATGAAATTATAACTTAAGGGGTGGAGAGGAATCACAGTTCTTTAACTCTTTAAATTGGAAAATACTGATATTGGCCAAATTAATTATGAGTCAATCGAAGTAATATATTAATCCATTCAAGATTGGGTTTAAGAGTAGATTTAGGTAACAAGAAGTGCCATCAAATAATTTTAACTAGAGTAAATTACATAGGTATTCCGTGAAGTGACTATTATAAAAATATTTCATTGTGTTTAAAATTATAGAATCTTCCTTAAATTGTTTTCAACTACAATCGTCGAATATTTTAAACATTGCATCTCTAAGATTTATTAAAGTTGAGATATTTGCAGGGCATCAATAATTTGGACTGAAAAATTTTGCAAGTTTCTTGTGCTACTTCCAAGAAACTTTTGAAACACAACACGAAGGTTAAAAACAATTATTTCAAAACACAAAACTAAACAATTATAGCTTATTTGTCGCGTAGACTATAATGCAATGGACAATACTAAAACGAAAATAATAAAATCTCTATATATCATATTGTCCAATATAATGTACCAAACATTGCCGTTAAACCAACTCATGAAGAGTTTTTGTTTCAAAAACCCAAATTTGGGCCAGTATAAACAGCTGGACTTCATGTTTGATAGTTGTAAATTGGAATCCAATTGCATTAGAATCGAAATTCCAAGGTATCCTGGACCCCAAGTAGGCCTTTCACTGCATCTAACAAATTCAAGAAATTGTACAACAAAAAAAAAGGGATGTCCCACTAAATGTCAAGGGCCATATATAGTCATATACATGAGCCATCAATAGGTCCATCTGCAGCTAATATTGTATGCAGAAAGTAGTATAAATAATATTCACTGACCAAAAATTTACCCTGATTTCAAAAAATTCATTCCACTTTTGTGTAAAAATTGAGTTTTTAGCTTAAATTTTCCCTCTGATTCCCATCAGTATATGCCAATAGAAAATGGTCCAGTGGCTAAGTTGATGCTAGCCTCAGCACAAGAAAAAGATAAAGAATAAAGAATATCATATGAGTTTGAATTTTTTTGGCTTGATCTGATCAGGCTTGTTTTGAAAAGCCACTCAAGCATCTTTGCTGATTCTTCAATCAGCGGCATTATTTCGAGACTTATATTTGGCAAGTTGCAGCCTGAAGAGAGTTGTCACAAAAAGTGAAGAAATTCATTGAATTTCATGGCAAATACCATGGAACAATCCCCATTTGGTTCGAGAAGGCATGATGAATCTGAATTCAACTTGAAAGAATGGGGACTCAAGGCTCGAATCAGCCGTGAAAATACGAGTTCAAGAAGATTTTCGGCGTCTTATATTAGAAGTCTTAGAGAAGATGCAAGGTCTTTCAGATCAAATATAACCATTTCTAGTACTGCTTCTTCTCCTGGCTACACCTTAAAAGGTAACTCAATCCTCTTCCCCCAAAGCCCATATAGAGTTTTTATTCATTAAATGTTTTCTCTTCATAATATATATAATATTTTGTATTTTCAGATGAAATTGACCCTTCAACATATTCATTCACCACAGCCCTGAAAGGTAAGAATTCATTAGGAAGTATGCTTGGTACCGTCCAGTGCTATCCAATTATCGCGAAATTGTAAAAGAAATCCAGAGAGGTTCGAGTTTTATGACATTTGTGGCGGGTTTTTGGTGCAGCATTGAAGGCAAAAACTGTGTATACTTGGGAGTATCTTTCTCCGGATGGCTTTGTTCTCAACTCCAAGTGGAATGAAGCAGAAAAGTACATTTCAAATCCTCTATCGGGCGAAGTTCCATTGGAGTGTTTATCTGCGAAAACTCTCAGCAGAAGATCCTTTCGAAGCCTTACCAGCAGAATTACAATGTCTGCTCCACTCATTTATCCTAATCACTTGCAGCAATTCGACACCAAGTCTCCCATTGCAGAACATGAAAATGAAGTTCAAATTCCTAATCAAGGTCTTGTAAATATTCCTTTTTAAGGCTTGTATTTTATGCTAGACAATGTAACGACAAGATTTTAGCTTTTTCCTTTCTTTTTTTTCTTTTTCTGCTGTTGCAGAGGAGAATAAAATAAACTCAACTAGAGATAAGGGGACTCAAAGCACGCCGGCCGACCTTAGTTCAGGCAGCCCAAGTCCTGCGCGTACACCTTCAATCAAAGAAAGATCAATAAAGCGCAGTGAAGCAGAAGGTGAAGACTCTTCTATTTCAAGTGAAAAATTAAAACCAGAGAAAGAGGTTAGTTCTTTAAGCACAAATTTCATTACATCATTTTCTCAAATTTTAGATATTATCTACATTCTCAATATGAATCTAGATCTGCTTGTCGTTCCAAACTAGTTCCAACAATGCATTTCTCAGGTTGAGAAAGCAGAATTTGCTTTATGTTGCATAATAGAGCACATTAAAGTCCTATTTGCATTATTATATTCTTTAAAAAGGAAAGGAGAAGTAAACACTTATACAATCTTATGTATGATTGTTAAATTCCTCTTCAATTATTACACCACAAGAAAAACATAAATTGTTCCTAAGTATCATTAATTATTTCGTCATATAATATTTTCACTCTCAATTCTTTCGCTTCTTGTTATGAGAAACTCCCATAACTTGGACTCTAGGCAAATTATGCGACTTAAAACTCCATCATGTGGAATAAATTCAAGAATAATATCAAGCTAAGCCTTATCCCCGACCCTTCTCTCTCTCTCTCTCTCTCAAGGGCAGAAAATGGAGATTGTCTCATGAGCATGATATCTCTTGATCATACAAAAATGCCTTCATAGGTGGGGGACTCGAAACTGGTCCCTTAAGCCCTGACTAGCAGCATGTGCTGAGTATATGTACTTACTTGTGGTCACACTCCTTTGCTTGCTCTGCATTCCGCTCAAACAAATTTTTCTTGCTCGAGAAAAATTGTGAGAGCAATAATATCTTTTCCGTATTACCCTCTTTTTGCTTTGTTGGGCCAGTTCATTTCAAAGTTTAAACAATTAGAGAGGTGTTTTACTTGTTTATCTAGTCATCAGCACGACTCTTTGACATGCTGGCCTAATTCAATTAATTTTCAAAGGCTGGAGTCGTGCATAATTCTCATAAATGAGTGGTATGGACGTTTGATTCTAGAATGTTTAATTACTTTGATACCATGTTGATCACATTGTTTGAAAGCGTTTATTTATTTATTTATTTTATCTGAATCAACAAACTCATTATCGAAAAATCCAATTTATTACTTGTTGATGTCATAAAAAAAAAAAAAAAAACCCACTATTCAAGATCATAGATGGTTAGCACTCCTCTAAAGAATTTTACATTCTAGCTCGTTTGGTCTGACTTAAAAGCAATAAAATAAAAAAATACTTATTTTGACATTATGACTCTTCATAGTGTCGAAAAAAGCCCTAAAAACGCCGTGTCTACTTTCTAGCTTTTAAGCAAAGCCAAACATTCTATAAACATTAATATTTCATTAAAAAAGTTCAAAATGTGACAATATTAATGGTTTCTGTGCAAATGAGTCCTGCAGGTAGAAGTGAAAGAAACAAAAGAGAGAGAGGACACAAAAATAAACGAATTAGGAGAGAGAAAGAAGATGTGCATGCAAGGTGGATGTCTTTCACTGAGGAATTTGTGGATGAGGAGAAGGCAGAAAAAGAAACAAAAATCAAGAAACAAGAATACGTTTCTTTACCATCTCAATGCTTGCTAAAAATATGAAAATTCTCTCTCTATATCTATATGTAATGTATCTATCTCTCTAGAACATGCATATTAATGGAGGGAAAGAGGTAGCATTGATTACTATAAAAAGGCCAAGAAATGGTACTTTGTTTTGCTGTATTAGTACTATTGAATCTTGATTGTTATGTTTGTTTTTGTTTTAGTGAAAATGGTGACACCTTAATTAGGTTTCACATGCATCTATGCTTCAGTTGGGGTCCCCAACCTAATGAAAATGTAGCAAGTAGGTCCTTGATCTAAAATGTTGGAGTTTCAATCTCCACCTTTAAGGATTCCCATACGATTAACACTTTTCAAAAATCATAAAACGATGGATTCTAGGATTCTCCTAGAGGCAAAATTACTTTTATACATACCTCTTCTAATTGATCCACACACTACTCCATTATCGTAAGATACACTTTTTTCTTCTTTTTTCTTTTTTTTTTGGCACTCGAATTCCCAATGAAATTTTTTACTAAAGATTAAAAACTCAAAATTTTGTTTTAGTTTGTTTCATTAAATGTTTTGTTTAATTAAACATAAGGATAAAGTTATCTTTGTAACAAAAAAATGAGTTTTTAATTGGGTATAACGACCACAATTTTTTCTGGTTCCACTACTTTTAAATTGCACTAAAGTTTCCTAATCTTTACTTATTGTCACATTTCTTTCTTCAACCTTTTTCTTCGCATTCATCTTTAATTTTCATTAATTAGCACATCTTGTCTTTGACGATAATTTTCTTCCTAAAAGATTGTTAGGATACGTAAACAGATTGATTCTCAATACATTTTTAAATAAGCAAATGTACTAATTAATGGAAGATTGAAAATAAGAACATGAAAAGATGGGATATTAATGTAACCATTAGCAAAGATTGTGAACATCTAATGAAATAAAAAGTTGGGTAACAAAGGAAAAGTCCAGTGACAATATAGTCACCCTTTTAATTAAAGAAAAGGTTAAAATCGTCAATTGGGAACCCAAATGTTACAAAAGTGAAATTTTAGAGTGAGGTTGCCAAAATATTAAGTTGCAGATCAACTCACTACAATATGTTGGGGACCCCATTTGTAATTTTTCTTTATATAAATATATACAGACAAAATGTACTAAAATGTTAAAGTTACTGAGAATTTTTAACCGTTGACAGTAATATTCAAAGAAAAATTGTAGGAAATTGAAAGGAACCAAAAATTCATCAAATCATTTCACATATTTTCATAAATGCTCTATGTTGAAATCTATGAGAAGATTAAAGTGGAAGCGTACCTTGATCCATGGATTTCACTGTCTTGAACGGGTTACGACCTTCCAATTTTTACGTGATCTTCTTGAATTTTTTTTTCTGTTGATAGAGATGCAAAGAGATTTAATTCATGTACAATTAGGGACCATGACGTCATAATAAAATAATTGTAGTATGACAGTTATTAATTTTGTGTTATTTCAAATTGACCCCTCATCAATTTAAAATAACATTCTCCGAACTCTACACTTTATTCTAATGACATTTAATACTCATTAGTCCAAAATTAAATTTAATGGATCACTTTATCGACTAAACTTAAAATTAGCACTACACATTTTAATATATATACATGTGTGGTCCCATAGTTGGAAATTTTCCGACAAAAATTTCTACCAGATATTCATCATAGTATTGCTAAGAAAATAATAATAAAAAGTTATGCTTTAAGGAAAAGCATCTTTCCTAAAACAGTAAAAAATGTTGGTTGATTAATTTGTTGACAAGTTTTAGTACTCGATGTCGGCTAGAAAACCTGCACTCATTCTTATGTTCTTCCTTCCATTATTGAGGTTGATAATTCACCATGTGACTCTACGTACAAGGTTTGTCGATGATGAGTGGGATAGTTTATTGAATGGATAAAAATCTGACTAATCAGTAATAAATGAAAAATGGTTCTTATTATAATTTTTATTTCGTCGAGGAAAAGAGTAATAAATGAAAAATGGTTCTTATTATAATTTTTATTCGTCGAGGAAAAGATCATTATTGGAGAGAGATAACGGGTCCATTTGATATAACTTTTGAGATTCAAAATATGCTTTTGGACCCATTTGATCACTAATTTTAAAATTTCTAGTTAAAAAGGTTTTTAGAGAAAATTGACTCAACGTAGCTTCCTCTAAAAATTGTTTTGAAAGAGAGCTTTTTTAAAAGTTAGTTTTCAATTGTTAATACAGGTGGCTTTCTCAAAAATTTTATTTTATAAGAAATAGAAGCAAAAACATAGGTCTAGTCTCGTGTGACCATGAAACTTGTTGATGACGTCATATAGAATTTTGTGTTTGACATGTTATTTATCCACAATGCATGAGGTTTAACAAACGACGATCATCCCAATATTATAATTCCTAGTTTGCCTTGATTTATTGATCGCAATCTCACCGATTTTGACATTCGGTCATTTGTCTAGTTCTTTGTGATGCCTTTATTGTTCTTCATTCATATAAAAGATGCATTTTTGAGTTACACCTATGATATTTTGACAAATGCAATCGGAGAAATGACGAATCGAATGAATAACTGATTCAGATTTTAAATTTAACCAAAGAAAGAAGTAACTCGGGAAAACCCATTTGATCAAAATCCAATCCCAAAAATTTACGGTATGTAAAAAAGTTAAATTATATAAAATCAAAATTGATGTTCTGTCAGATGGACGATGGCCCAGCTCCTCATCCGGATGTTCTAATTGGATTTAGTAATTATGTAAAATGTATAGAGGAAATAGTGGCCAATGGCCGGTTGACCCGGCCATTTTTTCAAAGAGGCCTTTAACCAATTAAAAAATAAAAATAAAAATATTTAAAATCTTGAAAATCAACAAAAAAATAAGAGAAACCCAAATTTACCTTTACCATTTGAAAAAGAAATAGAAGACAATAAGGAGAGTGGAAAATTACTGTAGCACCGTCGACCTAGGCACCGACAAAAAAGGAAAAACAAAAGACCCAGTTGGCCATTTCTCTCTGAAGAAGGTAAGATTTTTATACCAAGAAAAAGCGTGTTTTTATTTTATTTTTTGGAAAAAAACATGTTTTAATATATATGTGTTGAGAAATCCTTGTGCAAATATGGAATTTGGGTAAAAATATTGTTTGGGAAGGGAAAAATGGAGTGGAGATAGTCGAAAATGAAGTTTTCCAGCAATTTCCACGTTGAACCGTGCTAGGAGAGGTGGGCACGCCATCTAGGCGCCAAGCGCCCAGTCAACTGGGGTTCCCAGTTGACTGGGCCGCCCATTATTTGGGTCATGGGCCTATTTTTTTATTTCCCATAATTATTGAAGTTAATTAAATAATTATTAATTGATTATATTGTGTTCTCTAATATTTAATTATTTATTTGAATTGTTTAACTTTAATGTATATTATGTATTTAAAATTATTTATTTGAAATGTAAGATATAAATGTTTTATTATGTATCGAAATATTTATTAGTTGCTAATTTAGATTAATTAATTATTTTATATTAAGTAATAGTAAAATAATTACATATTAAATAAGTAGTATATATAAATAATTTAAATAAATATTTGAACATTTGTAAAATAATAAAAATAAGCAATTAAATTTGAAAATTAAAATATCAATAAAATTAATTTTTTGCAAAGCAATTAAAATAAATTTGTAAATATGAAATAAGTATTATGCGTAAAGAATTAAAATAAGTATTTAAACATTCACTAAAAATAAAAAAACTAAATTAAGTGTTAGAAAAATAATTAAAATGTTAAAATAAACGATCAAAATAAGTGTTAGTAAAATAATTAAAAGAAATAATTAAATATTAAATAAGATTTATATATATAGAATTTAAATAAATATTTAAACATTTGTAAAATAATATAAATAAGCAATTAAATTTGAAAATTAAAATATCAATCAAATTAATTTTTTGCAAAGCAATTAAAATAAATTTTTAAATATGAAATAAGCAGTATGCGTAAATAATTAAAATAAGATTTAAAAATCCATTAAAAATAAAAAAGTAAATTAAGTGTTAGAAAAATAATTAAAATAAGCAATTAAAATATCAAAATAAGTGTTAGTAAAATAATTAAAAGAAATAATTGAATATTAAATAAGATATAATTTAATATGTATTTAAATTATATATATATAATTTGAATACATATTTAAACATTTGTAAGACAATAAAAATAAGCAATTAAATTTGAAAATTAAAATATCAATCAAATTAATTTTTTGCAAAGCAATTAAAATAAATTTGTAAATATGAAATAAGCATTATGCATAAAGAATTAAAATAAGTATTTAAAAATTCATTAAAAGTAAAAAAGTAAATTAAGTGTTAGAAAAATAATTAAAATTAAGTAATTAAAATAAACTATCCAAAGAAGTGCTAGTAAAATAATTAAAATAATTAATTAAATGTTAAATAAGTAATATGCATAAAGAGTTTAAATAAATATATAAAAATTTGTAAAATAATAAAAATAAACAATTAAATTAGAAAATGAAAATTTCAATCAAATTAATTTTTTGCGAAGCAACTAAAATAAATTTGTAAATATGAAATAAGCAATATGCGTAAAGAATTAAAATAAGTGTTTAAACATCAATTAAAAATAAATAATTAAAGTAAGTGTTAGGAAAATAATTAAAATAAGCAATTAAAATATTAAAAGAAACGATCAAAATAAGTGTTAGTGAAATAATTAAAAGAAATAATTAAATATTAAATAAGTAATCAAATTAGCAAATTAAGTATATGAAAAATAGTAATTTACGTTCATTTTCTTTATTCTGTTATCGATTGGTTATTGCATATAGTAGCAGTGTGTTGGTATATTTTTGTTTATTAATTACCTATAAACAAAAATTTTTGTTTATCGAACATCATTTGCATAGGGTTCTAATATTTGAAATTTTGCATGATGGAATATCATCTGGACGACGCTGTCAAATGTACAGTGGTTTGGGCAGCTGCTCGATGCCCTGCTATGTCGTTGCGTGATGTACAGTGGTTTGGGCAGCTGCTCGATGCCTTGCTATGTCGGTTGTTGAAACCAGTTGATGAAGACACCCTCCATTTTGATCTTGGGGGCAAGGTAGCGACGTTCTCCATATTTGAGTTTGCCCTCGTCACTGGACTGTGATGTACGGATGAAGAAGAGGCGAGGGCCTGTGTTTCGAGGAACAGGAGGCTGTTGAATGAATATTTTCGTGGACAGACGACGGTTACTCTAGCGCAGTTGGGAGATGCATTAAGGAGATGTGATCAAATTCTGATAGGCTTAAGTTGGGCTTGGTATTTATCATCGAGAGCGTACTCCGGTGTCATCACAAGAAGACATCGATTAACATTTTTCATTTGGAGGTTGTTGATGATATTGATGCTTTCAACAACTACCCATAGGCCCGGAGATATTTTCTAGATATATTACACGTGTTTAGGAGAGGGTTTTCAATGCCAAAGGGGGATAAGCCCAAGCGCAAGTACGATGCATATGGACTGCCGTTGGCGCTGCAGGTATATGTTTAAGTTAATGAATTACCTACACGTTTTTATTGAATTCTATGCATAATAATTGTAATTGCTGCATATATGGGTGTACGAGACTGTCCCCATCTTGGTCAGTCGGTATGCGAGGAGAGGAGAGACACGCTGTCCTCGAATGCATCACTGGCGAGCACAAGACAAGCCGCTTGCCAGACAGTTATCGGCTCTCCTCGACGATCTTGAGGTACGTATTATAAAATTGCTATTTATGTTGTATGTTCTTTTACAATCTCAATACATAGTCATTAACTGTGACATGTCAAAATGTCAGCTTTAAGTTCTCACTGAATTGGCACCGTCCATCAAGGAGGAGAGTCAGTTTTATATTTGCGAATTGCCTGTTTGGACTGCGCATGACGATCAGATGCCTGAGTCCAGGGTGGATCGAGATAGGGTATCTTACTGTGCAGGATTTGTTGAATATCGCTTTGATCTTGTAATTAAGTGCTTCACTTGTAATATTTTTTTTAAGAAGGATCGTTCAGTACTATCTCTATTGAGGATGTCACCTCTACCGAGGAGATCAAGTCCGACGAGGATGTCACCTCCGCTGAAAAGATCATGTCTGGCTACGCCAGAGGTTCAGATGCCTAAGTCCAGCGTTGATCGAGATAGAGTATATTACTTAAAAATAATTTTTTGATTGTCGTTTTAATTTATTTGTTAGGTTATTCATTTGTAATAGTTATTTTTTCAGGAGGACCGTCAAGTATCACCTCCTTCACCTAGTCACCGTGTTTCGACGATTGATTTGTTCGAACTCCTGATGGAGATGAGAGGAGACATGGCAGAGTTACGGGATAATGTCATGACACTACGAGCTGAGTTCGGGGACATGGCACAGTTACGATATGATGTCGCGATGTTACGAGCTAGATTAGAAGACCTTCACACTGAGGTTGCAGCGATACGGGGTGACATAGCAGGCCTGCGTGGGACGGACGATTATCGAGATAGAGAAGCTAGCGGATAGACAGGTCACTATCGGGACAGAGGGGATGACGGAGGGATTGGTGGCTATCAGGACAGAGGGACTGGCGGCTATCGGGATGGAGGGGGTGACGGAGGGGTCGTTGGTTATCAAGGGGAAGGGGGTCAGATAGGGTATGTTGACTCATCGTGGCAATTAGTTGTTGCATTTGATTCATTTTTAAATGACATGATGGGGATGGAGGAGCGAGAGGAGATACCTGTGTTGGAGGGGGTACCCAAGTAGGAGGGAGTACCCGTGAAGGGGATACCTGAGGACATGGAGGGGGTACCCGAGGAGGAGAGGGTACCGGAGGTGGAGTTGGTACTCGAGATGACGTCACCCGAGGCAAAGAGAATACCCGAGGAGGAGGAGGTACCCGTGAAGGGGATACCTGAGGACGTCGAGGGGGTACCAGAGGAGGAGAGGGTACCAGAGGTAGAGGTTGTACCCGAGATGACGTCACCCGAGGCAGATGGGATACCCAAGGAGATGGGGGTGCCCGTGCAGGGATACCTAAGGACGTCGAGGGGGTACCGAAGGAGGAGAGGGTACCGAAGGTGGAGGTGGTACCCGTGCAGGGAATACCAGGGGATGTCGAGGGGGCACCGGAGGAGGAGAGGGTACCCAAGGTAGAGGTGGTACCCTAGAAGACACCAGACTTGCCGGACGTGGTCTTTGTGTCGGAGGAGGTGGTCCCGATAGCGGGCGAGGGGGTAGTCCTGATGGCTGGGGAGATGGAGGTTCCCTAGACGCATGAGGAGATGACGATGACTGTTGACGTGCTGGAGCGCGTGGTCGGCAAGAGGCTGAGGGTGTCATCACAGTATGTTGTTTCTCCCTTTACCGTAAAGGCGAAGAGAAGAAGGTTCGTCGACGAGATGCACCCGAATTTATTCAGGGAGGTGGACCACGTCAAGTGAAAAGCCTTTGAGACGGAGTGGAGAGCACTAAAGCCTGAGTAAGTTTTGTATTTTATAGAATTAGTATAGTATGCAGACGCTGACACATGTATACTTCTTGTAACTAAAAATTTTGTTCTTATTTTTCAAAGCCAGCCGCACAATTGCGCAGAAGACGATCTCAAATGCTTACAAGTGGTTCCACGATATCACCACTTCGGGGGCTTGGCTCGCCGATGATGTAAGGAAATGAAAATATTGTTATTTATTATGTATGTTCAAAATCAAATTTTTGAATCAAATTCATAGATTAACTCCTTTCTTTATTGGTGTTTCTTGATGTAGCACATCAACTTGGCCATGGATTTGCTACGAGATCGAGCTGAAAGACATCCGAAATCGTTCAACATTCCTGACAGACTCATATTGAACACCGAGTTCATCCGTGTCGTTGACATTAAGTACCAGTCGTTCCAAGTTATGGGTAACGCGTACACGGTGTTGACATATATGATGGAGTGGGTCATAGGGATGTGGCCGAGTGTCGGAGGAAAGCCATGAGAGGGTTGCATGCATATGTACATGCCAGTATGTGTGAATCATCACTACATTGCAGTGAAAATCATATTCGTCGACTCCACAATGTATGTGTACGACCCCGATCATTCATGCCTAAAACAAGGTCAACTCGAGCAAAATTAGAGTCGGTGTCTGTGATCGTTCCCATGATAGCTAGACGAGCGAACATCACTGTACAGGACAGATAGGCCATCGTGTGAAACACGACGACGATGAGACAGCAAATATTTTAAGTGTTTGTAATTTTATTTTTGTCATTTACATCTTAAGTTCTAACTAATTTTCGATGTGCTAATACAACAATGTTTAATTGTAGGGGTGATTGCGACATGTTCGTCATCAAGTACATAGAATTTTTGAGTGAGGCACATAAGGTTGATACAATCAACCAGGCATGGATACAAAATTGGAGAAATAAATTAGCATGTGATTTATTTGAATTAAATAGGGATCCGTAAATAATTATACATATTTTTACATTTATTTAAATATTGTACATTTTATTCATTCATTTGTAATTACGAAAAAATTGTAAAATGTTAATTATTTACGTAATATTTAAATAATTATTTTACAATTTATGTGTTTATTTATAATATTTGTGTGTATTGTGGATAACGCAGTATCTAGAAAAAATTTCGATTTCAAATAATTAACATAAATAATGTGTATAAATAATGTGTATAACAAATGAAAGTAATGAATAGAATGTTTAAAAAAAAAAACTAAATCTAATAATTAACATAAATAATATGTATAAATAATTACATTGTCAATAATTATTAAAATTATACATCCGTTAGATTGTCATGCAGAGAAATCTGACTTGTACAATATCTTCTAGTATGCCATGTTGCACCGCACTTACGAGGCTGGGGAAACTCTCCGGTATATGGTATTCTAGACATACGTGTACGTCCAGGAGTACGTGATCCAACTGCTGGTGGCAACAAGTTATTCAGTGGGAGAATGTGGTCGGGAACTTCCCACTTGACTTCGTTTGGTATAGGAAATATTGTTTCCGCATATGCTGCTCTCCAATAATCAGTCATGTAATACACATTGTATAAGGTGTTTGGTGGAAATTCTCTATGCATAGCCACTGCCACTGCATGTGTACACGGAAAACTCTCCAACTGAAATCGTCTACACGTGTACATGTTATCATTCAAGTCCACGATTTATCCGAAATTACGTGCACATCTCACGGAGAAGCAAAACTGATCCAGTGGTTCTACATATACCTTTCTCGCCACATCTAGAGTCTTGAAGAGCTTATCTTCTTGAGCCGGGGTTAGCACACTTTCACAACTCTCTGATTCCTCACGACGATCATGAAACCACTGTTGTAGCTTGTCACAAATGTTTTCAATCATTGCAAGAGTTGGTAACTCTCGATCTTTTTTGAATAAAGCGTTAAGCGACTCTGCATTGTTTGACGTTATTATGTTGTATCGACGTCCTGGAAAATGTGATCGTGCCCAATGTTCAATTCCCATCTCTGTTAGATACTCCCATGCAGGATGCGATTTACTGTTTATTTCGACCATGAATTTTTTAAACTCTTCAAAACTGTAAGTTTATGCAGCTCTCCTAAACAACGCAACGATGCCCTTGCCTTGATACCTGGTCTTCAGGTTTCCTTGTATATGGTTCATACAATAACCATGATGTGCCTCGGGGAAGATTTCGGCGATACCATTTATTATTGACTGTCCTCGATCAGTTACGAATGCAAGGTTTTCAACATCCCCAATTACTTCCCTTAACTTCGTGAAAAACCAACTCATCGCTACATTATTTTCTTTGTCGACTATGCTGAATGCAAGAAGGTAATTTTGAATGTTCGCATCTTGGCATGTTGTAATAATCAACTTGCCCTCGTATCTCTCCTTAAGGATTGTACCGTCGACTAAGATTAGGGGTCGCAATACATTTCGAAATCCTTGAACACATTGTCTGAGGGCCATAAAAAAATATTTGAAACGATTATCGTCATCCTTCTCAATAAAAAATGCCGACCCAGTATTAATTCTTCCCATGTTATAGCAATACCTGGCCAATGTAAATAAAAATAATCATAATTTAGATAATCTATTAAATATTAAATGAACAGAAAAATAAACAATTCAATTAAATAATTAATTACATATAAATAAACAATTGAAATAAAATAATTAAAAATTAAAATAACAAAGAAATAAACACTTAAATAATTAAATATCTGGCTAATTTAACATAACACTTCTCGGTCGAACCCATCATATCTTCCAATGTACATTCTTTAGCCTTCCAAGCCTTCTGATAGCTCATGACCATCCCGTACTCTCATCGAACGCCATTACTGATGCCCGAAGGTCTGTAGATCGTTTGTGGGTCCTGAAACTTGCGCATTATTTCTCGACCAATGAACCATGATCGGGTCTGCCTATGATTATTTCGACAAATACCCACTTCGCAAGTATGTTCCCGTGCATACTTACGGATCAAAAAGAACTCATTCGTGTCCATCTTAGTCGCTCGCAAACGCCAATGACAACTGTCGTCAATGCAGATAATTGTGTATGTCGACTTGTTTAATTTCTTCACTTCAAACTCGAAGTTATGTTTTAAAGTAATTCGGTGCACAGCTTCTTGCAATTCTTTCTTTGACTCGAATAGTTGTTCGACATATACATCTTCATCATCGAGAACTACACGTGAACAATTAGAGGACCGTATACTCGATCCGGCCTGTGAGCTCCCACCCGACTCATGTTTCCTACGGGGTAAAGCAATCAAATCCTCATTTGTAAATACGTTTTCATTCTCATTGTCTTCAACTATCGATGGAATTCCGTGCGTAACAGTGTGATTATGGTGAGTAGCAGTGGTCTCGAGAATAACCACATCATCTTCACGAACAATTTGAATTGTATCCCAAACATCATTTACATTACGATTTTTTTAATTTGAAACTTCGTGTTCACCATCGTGGACATTCTTCCCCAATAAAGTTACGCAAATAGGAGTCGACTTTCGGCTTTGGTTCAATTTAATTAGATGTTTTATTTCCATTTCAGAAGTAACTTTCATAGGTGGAATTAGAATGGTTGAATGCTTATGAAACAAAAATCAAATTTTCATATCGTACTGAGATGGATCGACGTTAAGCATGTTTTGTATATCATGGTACATTTCTGCAAACGATGTACTTCTTGTTATAAAAACCGCTTTAACCCCATCTTTTTCACTCGTCCATTTCCATTGAGCATTTTCATTCATTTGAAATTCACCGAAATAACAAATTGGGACACATGCTGATGCCATATCTGCCATAAATTAAAAATAAGGAATTAATATGTAATTTCTTAAATTATTCATTTCATATTTAATTTAATTTTATACTTTAAATAATTCATTGATTATTTTAATTGTTTCGAAAATATTTATTTCAATTAGTATTAAATATTCATTAATATTTACTACAAGAAACATATATTAAATATGAACAAATAAATTATAAAATATAAAAGGAAAAAAATTAAATAAATAAAATTCTGCTGGGTAGGTTGGAACTGGAAACAGCCGGCTGCGTCTGATCGGCCCAGAAACAGCCGGATGTTTCCAGTCGGCCAGGATAATTGGGCAGCTCATCCCTCAATTCTGCCGAGGACTTCCGTCGCTGTCTGGATTCTCTGGCCAAACCTGACTGAACCAAACCAACCTCAACTGATTGAACTCAAGCAATCGCAGCTACTTTCTCTTCCACTGCCTTCCTCCTGCTTTCCCTTCTCCCCCGGGAGATGAGTCAAACTCAGGCTATTTGAACTAGAAAAAAAAGGCGTGATTCCCCCAAGGCGGGCAGAGACCTAAATTTCCATTAGATTTTTTCCTAAAAATTTCTTGCAGCAAGATGATCAGTCCGCCTTATTCCGTCACCCGAAATCCGGGCCGGCTGTTTTCATCCTGAAACTTACGCTGTAATTTTTTATTTTTTCCCCTTTTTCAACGAAATAATGTTTAAATATTTATTTTACAAACACTTATAAATTTTTCCTATAAAATATACGCATACAAAGATGAATTTTTTTTTTCGTTTTTGCTATAAAAAATTATATATCTATGTTTAAATACTGTAATAATTCATCTGCTTTGTCAAAATAAGATTTAAAGATTCAAACAATAAATTTAACTAAAACAAAATTAAAAATACGTATTTACACTTTCCAATTTCCAGTGCCGATTGTTTTTTTTTTTTTTTTTGAACCTTTGATAATTTAGTGAGATTTCAATATTCTAGTAGATGGAAGAATTCTTTTTTTCATTGTATTGGAGAAACTGATAAGTAAAATTGATTTTAAAATTTACGTATGGAAGTGAATGAATTTATTTAAACTTTTAAGGGTATTATTGTCTTTCAAAGAATTAACATATTTTTGTAATTGTGGAACATAAATAAGGGCACAATTGTCTTTTTCAATACAAGAGGCTAATGTGGTGAATGCAAAAAAAAAAAAAAAAAAAAAAATGGTCAAAGTGCAAAACTTGTTGTTTGACTAAACCAATTTGAAAAGTACCCCAAAATGTATAATAAATATTTAATTTACTTTAATTTATTTCTCATACTTATTTTCAATTACACTTTCACACAATAAAATATTCTACAAGTAAATTTCTCATTTTTTAATTTTTTTTTTACTTTTTTATCATTTATTTTTCAAAAAATACTATTCAAGATATAATTTTTTTACAAATAAAGGTCACCAAAGAAGGGGCTAATTATCCTGCTTAACTTGATGATATATCACCTCTAGTGTTTTGTGCAACGATTTATTTTCATTATATTATAATATGGATATTATTTTTTTTCTTTTTCATTAAAAAATAGAAGATAACATACGACCACGTCATCATCGTCCAAGATTTGGCGGTTGATAGTGTCCACAGTTATATTCTCCTTCCCACCTCCCTACGCGACCCTCTTCTTTCCCCTCCACCTGCACACACACAAGATGCCTGTGAAAGAAGCGGCGTTGATGGGCTGCGGCGGCGGAGGAATACCCCTCTGCTTGCGGCGTTTCAATTCCCCTAGTTGCAGCTTCCTTATCTCATTAAAGCCACAATTAGTAAATCGAAGTGGTATTCAACCCAACTTCTCGACTGCCTTCACCAATCAACGCTCATTTCTTGCCAAAACCCATCATCATCCAAGACTCAGGTTCGTGCTCAGAGCCGCCGAGTCAACTCAGTCACCACCATCCGCCACAGCAGGAACCGCCGGCAAATCCATTGTCCCCGATGAAGAGTTTTCACTAGCCAAGGTTCTGTTTTTGTTCTTGTTCGTGTTATATTTGGATAGTTTTTATTTCTTTATTATGGTAAATGAAGGTAGAAAATGAAGTGTGTGTCATAATCTATGTAATAAATTAAGTGATTTATTTTGTGTAATTATAGAACTTTAAAATATTAGCATTGTCATATGGTTTAATATTCTTTTCAAGTGTCACCATATTAGGCTTTAGAAAATTGAATATAATAACAATTCGTTAGAAAAAGTCAATTTGATTTTGTCAAGAATGCTTGCATCTTGGGTTGGATCCCAAATAGTTAACCAATTAGC